GCGAGATAGGTTTTTGCTTGCAACTGGATTCCTGAGGACACATTACACAAGATGAAACTGTTGTAGTTATACACAGAATTAATTAGTAATAAACTTTGTAAAACCTGAGTAATGGGACAAGGTTTCCCATCTTTGCCATACTTTGAAAACTTCTGTGACTTTGATGATGATGTTAGTGATGTTGATGATGATGACGACGATGATGATGATGACGATGATGATGATGATGATTTTACTTCTGTCTGGGCTTGAACTCAAGACCTCATGCCTGCACAACTTGCTTGTATGGCTGTCACTCTGAATCATACCTCTGTCACCATCTGAATCAGCCGAGCTTTTTGTTGGAGATGGACTTTTCTCTTTCTTTCTTTCTCTTTCTTTCTTTCTCTCTCTCTTTCTTTCTTTCTATCTTTCTTTTTTTCTTTCTTTTTGTTGTTGTTGTTGTTGTTGTGGTGGTGGTGGTGGTGGTGGTGCTTGAATTCTGGGCCTGGGCGTTGTTCCTGAGCTCTTCAGCTCAAAGCTAGAGCTCTACCACTGAGCCACAGCGCCAATTCTGGTTTTCTGGTGTTTATTGGAGATAAGAGTCTCATGGCCTTTCCTGCCCTACCTGGCTTTGAACCGTGATCCTCAGATCTCAGCCTCCAGAGTGGCTAGGATTACAGGCGTGAGCCACCAGCGCCACCAGCTTCTCAAAGACTTTTCTGCCCATGCTGACTGAACCCTGGTCCTGTGGACCTTAGCCTCCTAAATAGCTAGGGTTACAGGCATGAGGTACCAGCTCCCAGCTCTGAAAACCTATGTTTTTTGTTTATTTGTTTTAAAATCTGCCAGGTGCCAGTGGCTATGCCTGCTACTCAAGAGACTGAGATCTGAGGATCATGATTCAAAGTTAGCCTGGGAAGGAAAATCTGTGACATTCTGATGTCCAAATAACCAGTAAAAAGCTGAAAGTAGAGCTGTGGCTCAAATGGTAGAGCTCCAGTCTTGAGTAAAAGCTCAGGGAATTACATTCACAAAGTTGGTTTTGAGATTCCATGCCATTATATGAACTACCGTACCAAACTACAAGCCAGCATTGTAGTTAAATAAACATAGGCCAGATTAAAAGCCTTGTTTTATAAATAACTAGGAAAAATAACAAGACATTGGATTTTTTAGTTCTTTAAGCTATGCTGCTATCTAGGTCTTCATTTTATTTACTTATTTTTTTATTTTTTGGGGGTCCGGTTGTGGGGCCTAAACTCTGGGCCTGGGTGCTGTCCCTCAGCTCTTCAGCTCAAGGCTAGCACTCCGCCACTTGAGCCACAGTGCCACTTCCGGCTTTTTTCTTTTTTTGCTTATGTGGTGCTGAGGAATCCAACCCAGGTCCTCATGCATGCAAGGCAAGTGCTCTATCACTGAGCCATTTTCCCAGCCCCCCAGGCCTTCATTTTAAAGCCAAAATAAATCAAAACAGTGCTAGCTATGTGTTTTCTTGAGGGAGGTCATCTACAAATTAGGGTAAAATAGAAAAGATAAGCATAAAAATAAAATGATTATGTGCTTGTGAAATACTTTTCTGGATCATTAGAATTTTCTTTAGAGTTTTTGCAGTTTTGACTGGCCTCTACATATGTTATATTTAAAACTTTTCCTCAGTATGTAAAAATACATGTGAAAATATGAATAAATCAAAAATGAGTAGATCTGGGCTGGTAGTGCTTGCTTAGCATGCATGAAGCCCTGGGTTCGATTCCTTAGTAGCATGTACACAGAAAAAGCTGGAAGTGGCTCATGTGGTAGAGTGCTAGCCTTGAGCGAAAGAAGCTCAGGAACAGTGTCCAGACTCTGAGTTCAAGCCTCAGGACTGGCCAAAAAAAAAAAAAAGAGTAGAGTTGGGTACAGTGGCTCACACCTGTAATTGCTCAGGAGGCTAAGATTCAGAGGACTGAAGTCAAAGCCAGTGTGGATAGAAAAGCCTGTGAGACTCATCTCCAATGAACCAAGAGGCAGAGAACTGGCTTTGAGTGAAAAAGCTCAGGGACAGTGCCCAGTCCCTGAGTTCAAGTCCTAGGACTGGCAATCACACACACACACACACACACACACACACACACACACACACACACGCACCACACACAATAAAACCAACCCATGTAATATAAAAATGACAACAGTAAACAAACAAACAACTGATAGTTGGGAGTAGGATAATTAAATGCAAAAATGCTTTTGATAAAATAGCTATTTATTGTCTACTGGCAGAGATATTGAAGTGAAATGCCTTAAACCAGACTGGAAGAATAGAAATGGAATGTATTTGAGACTTTTTTCTTTTCCTTGTTTGTCTCGTTTTTAGTTTGGTTCTGTTTTGGCTGACCAGGACATTTGGATCTTCCTGCCTCAGCCTTCTGAGTCCTAGGATTACAGGTTAGTGTCACAGTGCCAACCAAATGTGCATTTGGAATTTACCTTTATGGACAGCCAGGTACCATCTCTAATATTCCTTGATAGTCTTCAAAGTGATACACTTTCAGAAATTTGATACCCACTTTAACCTCTTTCTAAATAATATTGAGCTCACATGTTATAATACTTGTATTTTTTCCTAATGTATATGAAAATTAATACGGGGTTATTTCAATGTGAAACGTTAGCTGGGTGTGGTGTTGCAAGCTTGTAAAGCCAACAATTGGGCAGCTGAGACAAAAAGCATTTCAAGCCGGGCGCTGGTGGCTCACGCCTGTAATCCTAGCTACTCAGGAGGCTGAGATCTGAGGATCGGGGTTCAAAGCCAGCCCAGGCAGGAGAGACCGTGAGACTCCTATCTCCAATAAACCACCAGAAAACTGGAAGTGGCGCTGTAGCTCAAGTGGTAGAGTGCTCGCCTTGAGCTGAAGAGCTGAGGGACAGTGCCCAGGCCCAGAGTTCAAGCTCCACGACCGACAAAAAAAAAAAAAAAAGCATTTCAAGGCAGGCACTGGTCATGCCTGTAATCATTGCTACTCAAGAGGCTGAGATCTGAGGATCAAAATTCAAAGCCAGCCTGAGCAGGAAAATCCATGAGACTCTTATGTCCAATAACTATCCATAAAAAGTCAGAAGTGGAGCTGTGGCTCAAGCCGTAGAGCTCTAGCCTTGAACAAAAGAAGATCAGGGATAACATCCAGGCCCTGGGTTCAAGCCCCATGATCAGCATGTGTGCATGTATGCATGCATGTGCACAAGTCCTAGTGTATGCCTGCATGCGCACACACACACACACACACACACACACACACACACACACACAGAGGCAGCTCAAGTTCTAAGCCATTGTGGGCCATGGAGTGAAACTCTTGCAAAAAAAAGTCTCGCCGGGTGCCGGTGTCTCATGCCTGTAATCCTAGCTACTCAGGAGGCTGAGATCTGATGATCACGGTTCAAAGCCAGTCTGGGCAGGAAAGTCCGTGAGACTCTTATCTCCAATAAACCACTAGAAAACAGGAAGTGGCGCTGTGGCTCAAGTGGTAGAGCGCTTGCCTTGAGCTGAAGAGCTGAGGGACAGTGCCCAAGCCCAGAGTTCAACCCCAAGACGGACAAAAAAAAAAAAAAGGCTCCCCCCCCTCCCCCTGCAAACAAACAAACAAAAAACCCTGAAGAACAAAAACATTGATCTTTGTCTTCTAAGGTCATTTTGAGACCCCTTCTAATAGTGCCCCATACTTTGAACAACTACTTCCCCCCCCAAAAAAAAACCCCAAAGGTTCAAAACTCACTAAGCTATTTTGTGAATGAGAAGCAATGTAGGAGAGCCCCAAAAGTTGGAGAGGACAGAAGGTGGGTTGACAGTGTGAAGTTTTAAAAGAACACCCAGAAAAGGCCCAAAGATTCTCAGGAGTTCTCAGCCGCCTGGCTCAGCTTGCGGCCAGTGTTCTGTGTCACCTGGACACTGGCCTAATGAGAGTTTCCTGGCTGAAACTGCCTTGTCCTGTAATAGGACCCTAGGGCCAGACTCAAATGGGTAGGCAGTTGGGGTGTGATCAGCTCAGGTGGAGCCACCCAGAGCCAGGAAAACGGTGACTGAGAAGGAGTGGGTGGTGGTATAATCTTGGGTGAGGGCAGACATGTCTCCCTGGAAACTTGTCTTCCTTCCTTCCTCTCTTTCTCTTCCTCTCTCTCCCTCTCCCTCCCCACCTCTTTCTCTTGTGCCACTCCTGGGGCTTGAACTTAGGGCCTGAGCACTGTCACTGATACTCTTTTGCTCAAGGCTAACACTCTACCATTTGAGCTGCAGCTCTACTTCCAGCTTTTTTTTGGTAGTTTAATGGAGATTAGAGTCTCATGTACTTTCTTGCCTGGTCTGGCTTTGAACCACAATTGTCAGATCTCAGCCCTGTGAGTCACTAGGATTATAGGTGGAAACCACGGCATTGGCTTTAAATCTCTCTTATAGCAACCTAAGACCCAGTAGCACAAAACCCATTTGTTAGAGCAGCCTTTTACATGGGCCAAAAGAAAACATTTCCCCGTATATTTCAGAGTCAGATTCATTGCTGAGAAAAATCTTGGCTGGACAGTGCCACTTATTGGCAATATTTTTGTTATCTCTAAGCCCGATTCCCCTGTTCCTTCATGCACAATGGCAGGGTGATTTTCTCAGTGTTTAAAAGACCCCCCAGATCTTTGGAAAGGCCTGCTCCCCCACTTTCTCCCTCAACCCTTGCTTAGAGGAAACAAAACAAAACAAAAACCACACTCTTGCACCAGCCAATGATGAGAAACTGTCTTTATTGGGTGACTTTTCAAGGCATTGCCTGCAGGGGCGCTGTAGAGAAGCCATCAGGGCATACCCAACACCAGTCAAGCCATAGATTTGTCTCATTTCCTTATTCAAATAATGACCAAATTGCAGAAATATCTCAGGGGGAGTTCATAAATTAGTTTGGGGTAGGTTGTGGGAGTTTCCCCATTCTCAGGGTACTTAGAGGCCTTCTGGTTGACTTTCCTTTCTTCTCTTTTCTCCTTAGATGCGGGGCTGTTTAAGCATGCACCATTTCCTGGAATTCTAGAACAGAAGAGTTGAGGAAATAGGGTCAGTGGAAGAGACTGGTATTCTCCCTTCGTGCTGTCACCATGGAAGCAAATTCTGGAGTGACAAGCATGAGTCCTCTTTGCCTCTGTGTCCCCTCGATTTAGAACTTCTCAACTGATATCATTTCTCTCCGACTACAAAGTGAGCCAATATCACAATTGTCCATTGCTATTTGTGAACAGTGTGTGTGTGTGTGTGTGTGTGTGTGTGTGTGTGTGTGTGCTAGTACTACTAGGGCTTGAACCCAGAGCCTTGTTGCTCTTGCTTGGCCTTTTCACTGAAAGTGATTGCTCTACCACTTTGAGCCACAGCTCCACTTTCAGTTTTCTGGTGGTTAATTGGAAATAAGAGTCTCATGGGCTTTCTTGCCTGGGCTGGCTTTGAACTTTGATCCTCAGATCTCAGCTCATGAATGGCAAAGATTCCAGGCATGAGCCACCAGCACCTGGCTAACATGAATATTTTTGTTTGGTTAATTTACTACAAAAATGGGAAGTTTGTTTCCTTAGATTTTAAGCAGACATTCATCAGGGTAGAACTTTGAACAAACTTTCTTCTGTTGAACCCTATCCTTATCTCCAAACAAATTATTGTTATTATATTTAGAATAATAAATTTTGGATGATGCCAATTAAAATTGAAAAGTGAGATTTGCCTTCTATCCATTCCTAAGCTTTGTCCCTTTGGAAGTCTTTTATGGTTATATTTAAGTAAGTAAATCCTTTTACATTAAAACTCTGTGTGTGTGTGTGTGTGTGTGTGTGTGTGTGTATGCGCACGCGCGTGCTGGTCCAGGGGCTTGAAATCAGGGTCTGGATGCTGTCCCTGAACATCCCCTTCCCCTCCCCAGCTGGCACTGTACTTGAGCCATAGCTCCACTTCTGGCTTTTTGCTGGTTAATTGGAGTAAGAGTCTCACAGACTTTCCTGCCTGGGCTGGCTTTGAATCATAATCCTCAGATCTCAGCCTCCTGAGTAGCTAAGATAGGTGTGAGCCTCTTGAAACTTTATTTTTTTTTCTGCCTGTTTATAGAAACTTTTAACTCCTGTCTGGTAAGCTACACTAGTATACATTTTTGTGTTAAGGACCAGTATTTGGTTTGAAGTCAGGGACTTAAACTCACTAGTCAGGTGCTCTACCACTTGTGCCATGCCTCCAGTCCTTTTTTGCACTGGTTATTTTTGAGATAGAGTCTCGTTTCCTGTCCAAGTATGTGTTTGGACTGTGACTGTGACTCTCATTATTTTCTCCCATAGTTGGGAGGACTAGCATGGAACACCACACAACACATAGCTTCTTTTAGTTGAGATGGAGTCTCATGAACTTTTCTACCTGAGCTGGCTTAGAACCATGATCCTCGAGGGCTGGGAAGGTGGCTCAGTGGTAGAGTGCTTGCCTTGCATGCCTGAGGCCCTGGATTTGATTCCTCAGCACCACATAAGCAAAAAGAAAAAAGCTGAAAGTGGTGCTGTGGCTCAAGTGGTAGAACTCTAGCCTTGAGCTGAAGAGCTGAGGGATAGCGCCCAGGCCCAGAGTTCAGGCCCCATAACCGGACCCCCCCCCAAAAAAAAGAATCATGATCCTTTTGATCTCATCCACCCAAGTAGATTTGACGAAGGTGGGCATAACCACCCTCAGTAATGAATTGAGAAAGGATTTCGAGTATATGCCTGGGCTGGCCTCAAACTACAATCCTCCCGGTTTTAGCCTCCCACAAAACTAGGCCCACAGGCATGAAACACTGTTGGCCACTTTATAGTGGTCAACTTTTGAATAGACTTTTAAAAATCAAAGAAGGATACAAAATAACATTTGTAAGTTTCAAATAAGTGCCCTAAGCAATGTGTTTTTCCAAGCTGGCTGCAAGAAAATGTCCAAGTACCTAAAATTTGAATCTCTCTACAAACAAGACAACATGAATAGTGGTTCACTGGTTTGTTCTGTTTACCCCATTCATTTTAGAGGGCCATTGCTCAGCGTCACTGTTGAAAGCAAAGGAAACTAAGAGGCATTTCTACACAAGTTAATACACTTTTTTTTTTTTTTGGTCGGTCGTAGGGCTTGAACTCTGGGCTTGGGCGCTGTCCCTGCGCTCTGCAGCTCAAGGCGAGCGCTCTACCGCTTGAGTCACAGCGCCACTTCTGGTTTTCTGGTGGTTTATTGAAGAGTTTCATGGACTTTCCTGCCCGGGCTGGCTTTGAACTGTGATCCTCAGATCTCAGCCTCCTGAGCAGCTAGGATTACAGGCGTGAGCCACCAGCACCTGTCTGCTATTACACTCTTATGAGCCACCCTTGAGAATACCATATACCATCACTTCCCTTATTCAGAAAAGAGAGATAGAGTCTCAGTGACAGGGTCTCTGCCTTTTGCCTCCTCAGGCCAAGGAAATTATGATTGTATTTTTAGTTCACTAACAGAGGTCAGAGGTACCAGAACGTGTGTGTGTGTGTGTGTGCGCACGCGCGCGTGTGTAGGAATGGAACCCAGACCCTGCTCCGCGCTCTGCACGTACCATCAGCCCCAATCTTTCCATCTCCATCGCTGTCAGCAGCTGCCATCAACGACTTGGTTTCTGACTCAGTCAGCTCTCTGGCTCCGCTCTCAAACTTCTGCAGGAAAAACCTACAGGGCAATACAGACCTGAGGGAATATTCTGGAAAACCAAGCTTCTGTGTGTTTCCTTTTTTTCTTCCTTTCCCCCTCCCTCTATTCCTCACTTACTTCCTTTTCTTCCTTCCTCCCTCCCAACCATCCATCCTGCCTTCTTTTTCTACCCTCCCTTTCTCCCTCCTCTTCCTCCTCCTCCTTTTCCCTTCTCCTCCCTTCTTCTCTTCATTTCTTTCTTCTCTTCCTTTCTCTCTACCTCTCCTTTTCTGCCTCCCTTCCTCTCTACTTCTTTTCCTTCCCTCCAACTCTTTCTATCTCCTTTCCACCTTCCCTCCATCTCTCCGTCCCTCCCTCCCTCCCTCCCTTCCTTCCTTCCTTCCTTCCTTCCTTCCTTCCTTCCTTTTTTCCCTTCCTTCACCCTTCTCCCACCCTCCATCTCTCCCTTCTTCTTCCCTCCCTCTTTCCTTCCTTCCTCCTTCCTTTATTCCCTTCCTTTCTGTCTCTTCTCCTTTCCTTTCCTCCCCCTCCTTCCTTCCTCTTTTTCTCCCCTCCCTCCCCCTCTCATCCCCTCTTCTCCCCTCCTTCCCCCATCTGAATCCAATGGTTGGAATCATCAGTCAAGATTTTAGCTGGCAGGGATTTCCTTCACAGTAGAAACAAGGGCAGACATTTTATTATTTTTGAGACCCTCACTGAGTCCCTCTGTTTGGTGCTCCACCTGAAGAGACCGGGCTCAGCCAGGGCCCAGTGCCCAGGCAGCCCTGGCCCCAGCCCCATTCAGCTGTGAGGTGTCCAGGGCAAAGCTTACTTAAGCTCTTCTTCATCCAGGAATCCACTCTGGTCGTTGTCTATGAACCGGAAGACATCTTTCACCTGGCTGGCTGACATCTTGGACAGGCCTGATGTTTGGAAGAATTTCTGGGGTTCAAAAGTATCTGGGTCTAAAGAAGAAAGCATATTCAGTGCACCCGGGTACAAAAAATACAGGTTAATAAAATGACTGAGATTGGAATATAAAGATTTTGAGGCCTTAATCTCTGGGCTGGGTGCCAGTCACTAACTCCTGGAATCCTAGCTACTCAGGAGGCTGAGATCTGAGAATCACAGTTCGACGAAGCCAGCCAGGCAGGAAAGTCCATGAGACTCTTATTAACAATTAACCAACAAAAAGTCAGAGGTAGAGCTGTGGCTCAAATGGTAGAACACTGAGCACAAAAGCTCAGGGACTGAGGCTCAGGCTCTGAGTTCAAGTCCCAGACTGGCGTGCACATGTACGTACTGTCCTAACATCTTCAGTTAAAGGGATGTTCAACTGGTCCAAGACTTTGAGCCAGTTAAGATGGGGTGGCTTTCTGAAGTTATCCCTTTCCTTTTTTCACCAAATTTCTCTCTCCATCTTTTCTCTCTTCTCCTATCTGGGCTCCACATCTCTCCCCCTCCTCTCCTCCCCCTCCCCACCGCCATCCACCAAGTCCCCCAAAGCCATGGCTTAATCAGTGGGGAGAAATGTCATCACTAGGTCAGTCATCAGGCTTAAAGGCATTCACTGGCCTTGTTCAATTTCTAGTAAGTTTCTTTCATCTTCTAGAAACAAAAATCAGATGCTTGCATCCCAGAATTCTCCTGAGTTTAGATGTCTAACTCATGGCAATTCAATTTTCTGAGTGAGTCTGTGAGTTTTTCCACAAAGATTACATTTTCTTTTCTTTAGTTCCTCCCCACCCCCCGTGGGTCATAGGTGTGAACTCTGGGCCTGGGCACTGTCCCTCACCTCTTCAGATCAAGGATAGTGTTCTACCACTTGAGCCACTTCCGGTTTTCTGGTGGTTAATTGGAGATAAGAGTCTCATGGACTTTCCTCCACAGGCTGGCTTTGAACTGCAATCCTCAGATCTCAGCCTCCTGAGTAGCTAGGATTACACACATGGGCTACTTGTTTTCTTGTTCTGTGAGAAGTGAGACCATAAATCTGGGCACCCATGGCTCCCACTGGTAATCCTTGCTACTCAGGAGACTGAGAACTGAGGATCATGGTTCAAAGCCAGCCCAGGGAAGAAAAGTCTGTGAGACTCTTATCTCCAACTAACCAGCAGAAATCTGAAAGTAGAGCTGTAGCTCAAGTGGTAGAACACTAGCTTTGAAGGGAAAAGCCAGGTGAGAGGGTGAGGCTTGGAGTTCAAGTCCCAGTATTGGAATCAAAAATTTACACACAAAAAAATGGGAAAGCAGAAAGAAACTCTTGCCTTTCTCACACCCACCCTCTAACTTTATTATTATTATTATTTGGGTCCGGTTGTAGGATCTGAACTCTGGGCCTGGGCGCTGTCCCTCAGCTCTTCAGCTCAAGGCTAGC